TATAAAACACTAAAGAATGCATATATAGGAGGTTTATAAACATTATTCACAAGCTTGGTTATAAATCAAATCTCAAAAACATTCAAATCATTGACATCATAAAGGACATATTTTTTTCTTAGATTTATTTAATTCAGATAGAAAAAATAGACCCATTGAAATAAAACAAAATAACTCCATTTGTTTTTAAATTAAGTAACATACATCCACATAACCAAAAAGCTAAAGAAAACTACAGAATTAAAAGTAGAAAAGATTTAGACTTATAACTATCAAATAATAAAAGCACTGAATTTAAAACCTTGTGAAGAGCAGCTTAAATGAGTAGTAGAAATTTATAGCTTTAAGACTTTATTGTGTAAAAAAGAGACACTGAACATTGAGTTATCCTTTACTTTTAAAGATATATTATGCTTAAAAACATAACATATACAAAATAAGATAGAGGGAAGATATTTATTAATAACAGAAATCAATAAAATGGGAAACAAATGTATAGTAGTATAGCTCCACAAATTCAAAACTTGCTTCCATGAACAAATATGAAATTGACAAAATTTAGACAAAGATGACCACAAATAAAAATGGATAAATAAAAAAGAAAGCAATACTAGGAATAATAAAGTAGATTAAGCCACTTACAGATGTCATACATATTAAGATGCTAGTAGCCTGTCCAGATTCCATTGGTAAGTGCGTGAAGATCCCAGCCAGAAGCCCCTATGGACCAGAGGTGAGCAGGTGCACACAGGTACCAAGCAGATCCCTACCCAGACCCCAGCAGCTTGGGGCCACAGTCCCCAGCAGAAGGCCCGCCTAGAAAAGAGCTATGCAGGCAGGCAAGTAGCAGCCAGAAGCCCTCCCAGATACCATGGTAAATGCATGCAGACCCCTGCCAGAAGCTCATTCAGACACCAGTGACTTGGGTACATGGCCCCCAGCCAAAGGCCCTCTCAGGTAACAGCTGTGCAGAAGGGCAGGCTCCAGCCAAAGGCATGCCCAGATACCACCCCAAGTGTGCATAGGCTACAGCCAGAACCCCAATGGGACAACAGGACAGTGCAGGGATCCAGAAGGCCACCCTTCTGAACCAGGAATTGGTGCAGTGGTGAGTAGCAGAGAAAAGGCCTCTTGGTGAGAATTGAAGACCACTGGATGAGCAAAAAGTATCCTCAAAAAAAAGGTGCAGCAGGCTGAATTTATGGAAATGAGAAGGCATGTACACAAGACTCAAAACCAGACTTCCAGAGCACCTAAGGCAACCCCAAGGGTAGACAAGATAGAACAATCTGATACTCAACAACCTGGACACCTTGAACTGGCAACAAAATAGAATCTGGAAAAAATAAAGTTAGAAATAATTTCTGATAGTTTATGCAGCAGAATGAACAAATGTGAGGACAAAATTTCAGATATAGAAGGAAGGATTGCAATTATTGACAAAGAAAAGAAAAAAATCTTAAAAATAATGAGGAACCATGAGAAATCAATCCAGCAACTGCTGGACAATGCAAAGAACAACATAAGACTGATAAGAGTAAATGACAAAACTGGAGACAGTGCACACAACATTTTTTAAAAAAACTGTTCACAGAAGTAATGGCAGAAAATTTCCCAAGCAGGGAAAAGAACTTGAAAAACAGATAAGTGAGACATATAGGATTCCAACTAGCCATGATAAAAAGAATCTCCATGCAGGCATATAATAGTTAAGATTCCCAAAACCTAACAGAACAAAATTCTACAAGCAGTCAAAGAAAATAATCAAATCATATTCAAAGGAAAGCCTATCAGAATCACAGCAGACTTTTCAACACAAACCATCAAGGCAAGAAGAGCTTGGAGTGATGTATTTCAAGTCCTAAAGAAAAACAGTCTACAACCCAGATAGATGTACCCTGGAAAACTATCTTTCAAAATTAATGGAGAAATAAGACAACGAGCACCTGAAGAACTTCATGAATACCAGACCAGCACTCAAAAAAATTTTAAACAACATCCTAGGAAAATACAATGAGGATCACAATCCCAGGAAGACCAGCAGAATTAACCCATCAGGCACAACAAGAAATTAAATGAAGAGGGGGAGAATCCAACAAAAAGAGAAAGTCATGACAAGGATAAGTCAAGACATGTCAGTTGAAACCATCAATGCTAACGGTCTCAATTCAGTAATCAAAAGAAATAGACTGGCAGAATGGGTCAAGAAGCAAGACCCAACAATATGCTGTATATAAGAAACACACCTAATTCAAAAGAAATGCATAGACTGAAAGTTAAAGGTGGAAAACAATAGTCCTTGGGACAGGAACCTGAAAAAAGCAGGAGTAGCTATCTTATTTGCAGATCAAATGGATTTCAAACCAACACTAATTAAGAAAGACAAAGAAAGCCATTACATCCTTGTAAAGGGAAAAATCTAAGAGGAAGAGATGACAATAATAAATATATATCCACCAAATAATAGTGCACTCAACTATATAAAACAAATACTAACAGACATGAAAGATCAAATAAGCACTAATACAATAGTAGTGGGGGACCTCATCACCCCACTGTCACAATTAGATAGATCAATTAGATAAAAAAATAAACAACAAATACTACGACTCAAACTCTTGAACTTAACAGATGTTCACAGAATGTTCCACCCACAAAATCAGACTACACATTCTTTTTGGCTGGGCACAGGTTGTTCTCTAAAATAGATCACACAGAACACATTTAAGAGAACATGTTCCTCATAGAACATGTTTAAGTAAGTGCAAATGAATTAAAGTTATCCCTTGTATACTATTAGACCATAGTGCAATGATATTGGTGATCAATAGCAAAAGAAACCATAAGAATTTCATAAACACATGGAAATTGAACAACACACTTTTAAATAACCAATGGGTCACAGGGGAAATTAAAGAAGAAATCAGACAGGTTCTATAATTAAATGACAATGCCAGTACAACATATAGGAATCTATGGAACACAATGAAAGCAGTCTTACAAGGGAAATTCATAGCAGTGAATATTCACATTAGGAAAACAGAGTGAGCTCAATTAAACAACCTGATGTTTCTAGAAAAAGCTTCCAGAAGGTTCTAGAAAAAGAAGGGTAGAACAAACCCAAAGTTCATACAAGGGAGGAAATTATAAAGATCAGAGCAGAAATCAATGAAATGGAGACTAAGAAAACAATACAAAAAAATCAATGAAGCCATGAGTTGCTTCTTCAAAAGAATAAACAAAATTGACAAACTTATCCTTAGCCCACCTTAAAAAAAGGAAAGAAAATATCCAAATCCACACAAGTAGGAATGAAAAGGGTGAAATTACAAAGGACCCAGCAGAAATCCAGAGGATCATCCATACCTAATTCAAGAACCTATAAAAAAAAAGAACCTATATGTCAGT